CAAACAAGCCCTTTTATCCCAGTGGTTAGTGGCTGGGATTCTGACATGGTTTCTAGAGCCAGTACGTTCCTGCCGCTTACCTACATGGGCCCACCACCTGCTTCCGCTGCCGTACCGTCCGCCGCGCGCCCCGTGGTGCGCGGCGGCGAAACCCTATTTTTTTCATCCCGCCGCGCGCTCGGAGAGTGCGGCGGTTTTCTGCCCGCCGTGCGCCCCGAGGCGCGCGGCGGTCTTCTGCCCGCCGTGCGCCCCGAGGCGCGCGGCGGCTTTCTGCCCCGTCACTCCGCGAGTCGCCCCCGGGAGGAGCTGCGACGGGCGACGGGGACCCGCGCGTCGCCCCCCGTCGCCCGTCGTGGCCCGTGCGACCTCCGTAGGGCCCGCGCGCGGCCCGTCCAGCCTGCGCGCGGCCCGTACGGGCTGCGCCAGGCCCGCGCGCGGCCCGTACGGACTGCGCCAGGCCAGGGCGCACCTCGAGCCGCCCGCCACTGCAGCAGCAGCCCCTGGAGCCGCCCGTCACTGCAGCAGCAGCCCCTGGAGCCGCCCGCAACTGCAGCAGCAGCCCCTGGAGCCGCCAGCACCTGCAGCAGCAGCCCCTGGAGCCGCCAGCACCTGCAGCAGCAGCCCCTGGAGCCGCCCGCAACTGCTGCCGCAGCCCCTGGAGCCGCCAGCCACTGCAGCAGCAGCCCCTGGAGTCGCCCGCCACTGCAGCAGCCGCCCCTGGAGCCGCCCGCCAGTGCAGCAGCCGCCCCTGGAGTCGCCCGCCACAGCAGCAGCCGCCCCTGGAGCAGCCGCCCCTGGAGCCGCCCGCCACTTCAGCAGCCGCCCCTGGAGTCGCCCGCCACAGCAGCAGCCGCCCCTGGAGCAGCCGCCCCTGCAGCAGCCGCCCCTGGAGCCGCCAGCAACTGCAGCAGCCGCCCCTGGAGCAGCCGCCCCTGCAGCAGCCGCCCCTGGACCTCAGAAGCCGTCCTTGGACCCGGTACGCTCTGCTGCTGCCCGATGCTGCCCGTGCCTGTGCTGCCCGTGCCTTGTCCCTCGAGCCTACTACCTACCTACCTATGCCTGTGCCTGTGCCTGTGCCTGTGCCTCTGCCTGTGCCTGTGCCTGTGCCTGTGCCTGCTCGTGCCTTGTGCCTCGAGCCTACTACCTACCTGCCTGTGCCTGTGCCTCTACCTGTGCCTGTGCCTGTGCCTGCTCGTGCCTTGTGCCTCGAGCCTACTACCTACCTGCCTGTGCCTGCTCGTGCCTTGTGCCTCGAGCCTACTACCTACCTACCTGTGCCTGTGCCTGTGCCTGTGCCTCTGCCTGTGCCTGTGCCTGTGCCTGCTCGTGCCTTGTGCCTCGAGCCTACTACCTACCTGCCTGTGCCTGTGCCTGTGCCTCTGCCTGTGCCTGTGCCTGTGCCTGTGCCTGCTCGTGCCTTGTGCCTCGAGCCTCGTGCCTACGTACCTACCTGCCTATGCCTGTGCCTGTGCCTGTGCCTCTGCCTGTGCCTATGCCTGTGCCTGTGCCTCGTGCCGTGTGCCTCGTGCCTCGTGCCCGCGCCCTCGTGCGCTCTGCTACTGTCTGCGCCCTCGTGCGCACTGTTCTGCTCTGCCCCCCCCCCCCCCCCCCCCCACCACAAGGGGTGTGGGGGTGGCGGGTGTGGGGGTGCTCCATTTGCGTCGCTCCTTTCCTCCTCCTCCTCCTTCCTCGTCTCCCACTGCTGCAGCTGTCGCTGAGGGGGGTGGATGTGTGGGAGCCGAGGGTTTAGGGTTTCAGGAGTGAAGGGGGAGTGGAGCTAGGGGTGAAGCAGTGGGTGTGTGGGGGGTGTGTGGGACAGTTGGGGGAGGTTGACCCGAGGCTGCCGTCTTGTCGTCTGCAGCACCTGAAGTCCGGGGCTCTGTCTCGGTAGCGCAGAGTGAGTGCTACACCAGTCGCCCGTGGGTCCGATGCTCCTGCCGCAGCTGTAGAGCCTGTTACTCCTGTATTCCGGGGTGCTTACCTCAGTAGCCACTAAGAGCTTGTGCTGCACCAGTTATCTGAGTCAGCCGCCATGTGACTGCAGCTCCAAACGACGTCTCCTATCTTCTCTCCCCTCACAGTCTCTCCTCCTCCTCACTTGCCCGTTGTGACTACCACTAGCTTTGCTCATAGTTGTGAACTTTAAACTGTTGCTTCTTGAACTTGTGCTCAGAATGTGTGGTGACATTGTGATCCACCCTGAGCTTGTTCTACTTTGCTTGCTCTGCTGATTGCACCCCACTTTGGCTATGGGGGTGTGTCAGAATGTTACTTGTCTAGCCTGCAGTGGGGTACTCAACAGTGAGTACAACCCTTTAGGGTTTCCTACTTGTATCCCAACTCTTGCTAGTTCAACCACCTCATTCTCACCATATTCCTTCGCATACCCAAAACCCTAGTCCTAGGGCACATCCTACTACCTCTTAGTGTGGGCCTAGGCTACTAAGCCTAGGCCCCACTCCTAGTATTCATGACAAGATGTTTGAATTGCGCGCAACTGTTCTAAATGCGGAGAGTCACTCTACAACAGTAGTGAGCTAGACTACGGGGGTTGCCAGCAGAGTAGGTCGACGGCGTGACAACACTGCAGCAGGGTGGCTGTCCAGCGTTGCCCCGTAGAAGACAGCAGTGCGCACGATCGCAGGTGCGCGCAGACGATTGGCCCGACTTGCATTGATGTGCATCCGTCTGCTGTTGTCTGCGCCTGACGAGCCACATCGACTTCGGGATACCAGTCCGAAGTCGTCTTCGTCATCGCGACCTCGATGACGTTCGCATGCCTCCGCAGAACTCGCCGAGCAGGTTACCTCGTCAACCTGGACACCACCAGCCACTCTGGTCGACCACCCAGAGCTCTGATCGACCATCAGGTGCCTCTCGTCGACCATCAGGGCTCTGATCGACCACAGCAGCTCTGGTCGACCACCAGGTGCCTCCGGTCGACCACCAAGGCTCCAGTCGATCACAGGAGCTCTTGTCGACCACCAAGTGCCTCCGGTCGACCACCAAGGGCTCTGGTCGACCACAAGGGGCTCTGGTCGACCACTTAGTGCCTCAGGTCGACCACAGCCCCCGTCGAGCAACAGTCTGGTCGACGGACACCTCCGACGACCAGCACTGTTACCTGGTCTCACCGAGCTCCCCTCGTTGACCACCGCTCACATGTCAGGTCGACGAACTGGTCTGTTGACCTCCCTGTCAAACTGAGTTGTCGGTGTTGCCCAAGCGAGGGCGAGGCCAACACTCCACTCCTGTTAACACTCCCTTGCCGCGCTCACGCTTGGGCCTCCAGCCCACACGGCAGTACTCCACAAAGAAAACTCGTCCTCGGCGTGTACCCCACACAAAGCACGCCGTCACCACACCAGCCGTGCAGAAGGACACGGCACCTACTGCTGCACAACACCTTAATACGATTCTATTTGCATGCTTTCATTTTCTTAGTCATTTTATATCGACTCTACTACCACACATTCTGTGCGAACCTTCCTGAGGTGATGCTGGTTACGATCTACTCTTTGATCGCAACAGTTTTTTCATGACTGCGTGCATGCTTTTGTTATTCCACTACATTGAACTGTGTGCAAACAACCTGAGGAGATCCTCGCATGGTCAAATGTCTGATTGTAACAGGATGTACAGTGGCGGGAACAGTCGTGTACGCAGTATGCTGTGTGACGAGAAGGAAAATATTTTTGTTTACAACTGTCTGTAGGAGATGGGTGATCCAATTGTTTCATGTATCCTGACTACCACACCTCGCCATTCCAGAAGTTTCACGCACTGGTGAGAAAGTTGAATATAGCTCGCTCTTTGGGGTTGAGTTTCTTCTAGCTAAGCTTTGAGAATATCAGAATCCATGATAGCGCGAATTAGAGTGTAATAGCGTCCGTTTCTGTAGGGCGGCAAGTTTCCTGCCGAGTGGAGTGCCGACTCACCACTGGTAAGTCTATGTCGGTGGGCGGAGTAGGTCGGAGCTTTTATGTGGAGGTGACTTCTGGTTTTGGTGGGTCGATGAAAACTGCCTCACAGTCGACGTAACGGCAACAATCGCCGTTTCCTGTCGGTCCAATGGAAACGGGCGTACAGAACTGTAGCTTACCACTCGCTAGGGCACCTGAAGGGCGAAGTGCGGCAGTGCTGCGCAGCTGATCGAGGGGCTGCGTGTGTGTAGGCCCAGTGGGACAGCTGGACAGTGTAGCAGTTACTACTGTAGTGGGATGAGCGTTTCGTTTCAGTGGTGGATTCTCGAGTCGCCACTGCGGTCGGTTCAATTTTGGGAAAATGACAAGCCGCATTTCGAAACCGAACCGCGTGGGGGTGCTGTGTCCAATGCGAGTCACGGATTGGTGCCTGTCAGCATGTCCCTTCCCAGCTGGCATGTTTCATGCCCATGCGAGATGAGAGCCAAAGTGGCAAGCAACTTTAGCCAGCTGGGCGACAAAGTGCAACTCGCGACAATTTCTGGGCCCTCGCCAGCGGCCCTTGTTGGAGAAGGTTGATCCGGTTACTGGCAGCACAGAGTTCGCATGCGGCAGCATTCCTGCCGACCAACATATTCCTGCAGCACCACAGCTGACCTCCAATCACCCGCACCCGGACAGTGGAGGTTCGGTATAAGCGCTCGATGCATTCCCAGAAGAGTGGTTATCTGCACATGGACTCCATGTTTCGCAGCTTGATCACAAACATTGCATTTAGCACATGATAAAATCTACACTACACCGCTCGTCTGTTACAGAGTGGTGTACACTACGCATACTCCCTTCCCGTGCGACTCGGTGTCCGAACCGCATTTCTGATGTGCAATTTTCGGTTCCGAGTCAGGTCAGAGACACTCGATTTTCCCAGTTCACGCCAGCAGCATCTAACATAAAAGCCAACACCTTTGAGGAAACTAAACCATCACACTTTCGAGTATCTCTCTATCCATCAGTCGTCGATCAACTATTGAACACTCCTTCCGCTTCTGCCAGTCTGAGACTCCACAATCAACAGCAATGGCTCCGGTCGCTCGTGGCGCTGTGCTTCTGCTCGTGGCCCTGTCTCTGGCCACGTCCGCCTCTGCCGTCATCAATCCCTTCTGGGGTGGAGCCCAGCCCCTTGAGCCGGTATGTGAAAACACAATCAACAAGGTGTCGTTGACTAATTTGCAACACTGAGAGCGAGGGAATCTCTGGCTGTATCATAATTCTTCTTCCTGCAGCGTTCTCACAATCAGTCCCTTCTAACGGTGTTCGCATTTTTGTCGCGTCGGATCCAATTAGTAATCTCTCATCACAATCACAAAGTAAATCGAACAGACGAAAGGCGCTGATCACCGTGAGGAACAAGGCGGTGCTGTTGTTTCGCCTGTCCCGCTCACTTGTCCCCTCCTAGTATTCCCCAAACGCGAAACGCAAATCCTGCAGGTGGCGAAGGCGCTGATCGCGCAGTGGAACGCGGCGGCCAAGACAAAGCCCGCGCTGCTGGTGGGTCCCTACGACCCCTCGGGCTCTAGCAACGGCATCAAGGGTTTCTACAACGGCACCTACCTCATTGGCGCCGCCTCCGAGCCCATCACCGCCACCGTGGAAGGTCAGAATCCTGGTGTTTCGAAGATCACGCTTCCCGTCGCCGTGGCCGCGTATAACTTCTTCGTGCACGGACCCAGCATTGTTCTCACCGCTGCCGACAGTTACAACATCTACAGCGGCAGCGTCACCGATTGGGGCAGCATTCCCGCCGCCAAGGGCAAGATTACCGGCGCCATTTCCCGCTATGCGCGCTCCGACAAGGTCGGCACGACGGCTATCATCCAGCAGCTGTGGGTCAAGGCGGGCACGGGCTACAGCGGCAAGACTGACGGCTCGCCGCTGACTTTCAGCGGTCTCCTGACGGTGGCGTCGAACGCGGCGATGTGCAACGCGGTGGTGGCGAAGGCGGGCTCGATCGGGTACGCGCACGTGAGCGCGTGCGCGGTGCAGGTGAAGAAATTTAAGAACAAGATCTCGGAAGCCCTGCTTAAGAACGCGCTCGGGCAGGCGCTCAGCTCCAAGACCTGGGTCGCGACGAACGCGCTCACCGGCGCTCCTCCCGCGCCCGACGCCTCGTGGGATCAGGTGGATTTGATCTGGAAGTCGATCGCCAAGGCGCCTGCTGCTGTGTCCATGCAGTATGTGTTTGTCAAGAAGACTCTGCCCAAGAATGGCGGCGCCGTCGCGAAGCAGTTCCTCGTGAGCTCGCTCGCCAAGTTCAAGGGCCAGGCTGTCGCGAATGGGTTCAACTTCGTGCCGCCCGCTTGGTTCAACCCGTCCGCTAACGCCGTCAAGACCGTCGCCGTGTCCACCTCTTAGAGCGGCGTGACAGCGGGGTGTGGAAGGGGAGAGCCGAGGGTGGTATTCTGCTGTGTTCCCTCGGTGATATGCGGATGATGGGTCAAACAGGTGGAGATAGTAGGCCGATATAGGATGTCTGGTTGGGTGCCGAGTGCAACCTATGGGGTGTGGGGGTGTTGCAGGAAGGAGGGCGGATAGAAAGGCTAGCTGCTTGTAAAGCCGTTTCTTTGCTGTCTTTCTGTACAAATATTAAAGGGCTTCTGCGCTGTCTTTTGCTAGACATTCCCAAACATGCTTTCCCTAGACAAAGCTTGTCTGATTCTTTGTCTGACTCTCCTAAATTTATATACATTTGGACGTTTCCTGCACTCTAGGTCGCTCGCATAAAGCTCTTCACTGGTGAAAGATACTTTTTACGTTGTGAACCTTCCTGCAGCCTCTCGATAACCCAATAAGGTGTAGCGCCTCTCTTGATATACCAGGAAGTGGCCTTTAATAGCTCGCTAGTTGTTATGAGTGCTGCTCTCAGGTTTCCCAGGTTCGGAGACAGCCAAGTGTCGCAGAGACCGAGCAACTGCTTCTGGCGATCGAGAGCAATCTTGTGCAGATCTTCGTGTGTTCGACCGTGGACGCAAATGTTCCCGTGCAACTCTTCGCATGCACTGCGCGGGCGCAGGCAGCTAAAATCATTGGCTTCTATGTTCACATGGCTTCTATTACTAGGAATTACTAGCCTGGAATCGACTTTTGACGACGAACTTTGGTGTTGACTCTCCCAACCAGAGTTGATTTTTGACGTACTTGTAAATTGTGATATATATGTATATATTTATTTGCTCAAAATATCGTAGGAGTGTTACTTTATCAATAGCCCAGGCACATTTAGCACTAACGGGTATCTAGTGATGCCATGACAAGTGTGCCATCGCTATCCTTCTGCTAGAGCGTTATTTTTGAGCTCTGTGATAGTTCCACAATGTAAGATATGGTGTTTGTATTTCCCAATTGATATAAATAGGAAGACATACAAAAAAAAGCAACTCCACTATGAAGTACTCGCCACACATCCTCTTTCGCTCCACACGTGAATTTGTAAAGTCTGACTGGACTTCAACTGCTTGACCTATCATCCGCATATCACCGAGGGAACACAGCAGAATACCACCCTCGGCTCTCCCCTTCCACACCCCGCCGTCACGCCGCTCTAAGAGGTGGACACGGCGACGGTCTTGACGGCGTTAGCGGACGGGTTGAACCAAGCGGGCGGCACGAAGTTGAACCCATTCGCGACAGCCTGGCCCTTGAACTTGGCGAGCGAGCTCACGAGGAACTGCTTCGCGACGGCGCCGCCATTCTTGGGCAGAGTCTTCTTGACAAACACATACTGCATGGACACAGCAGCAGGCGCCTTGGCGATCGACTTCCAGATCAAATCCACCTGATCCCACGAGGCGTCGGGCGCGGGAGGAGCGCCGGTGAGCGCGTTCGTCGCGACCCAGGTCTTGGAGCTGAGCGCCTGTCCGAGCGCGTTCTTAAGCAGGGCTTCCGAGATCTTGTTCTTAAATTTCTTCACCTGCACCGCGCACGCGCTCACGTGCGCGTACCCGATCGAGCCCGCCTTCGCCACCACCGCGTTGCACATCGCCGCGTTCGACGCCACCGTCAGGAGACCGCTGAAAGTCAGCGGCGAGCCGTCAGTCTTGCCGCTGTAGCCCGTGCCCGCCTTGACCCACAGCTGCTGGATGATAGCCGTCGTGCCGACCTTGTCGGAGCGCGCATAGCGGGAAATGGCGCCGGTAATCTTGCCCTTGGCGGCTGGAATGCTGCCCCAGTCGGTTACACTGCCGCTGTAAATGTTGTAACTGTCGGCCGCGGTGAGAACAATGCTGGGTCCGTGCACGAAGAAGTTATACGCGGCCACGGCGACGGGAAGGGTGATCTTCGAAACACCGGGATTCTGGCCTTCCACGGTGGCGGTGATGGGCTCGGAGGCAGCGCCAATGAGGTAGGTGCCGTTGTAGAAACCCTTGATGCCGTTGCTAGAGCCTGCGGGGTCGTAGGGTCCCACCAGCAGCGCGGGCTTTGTCTTGGCCGCCGCGTTCCACTGCGCGATCAGCGCCTTGGCCACCTGCAGGATTTGCGTTTCCCATTTGGGAAAAGGGAGAACAATCATGTGGTGAGGGGAAGAGATACGAAATAACCGTACCGCCTTGTTCCACAATACGCGACGCTTGGAGTCACCTGTTCGATTTACGTGCCGCCTTCAGGATTTACTATACGAGGTGAATGAAACGGGAAGCGAATGTGGTTGTGATAGACAGAGATAGAAAGATATCGTGAACGCCGACAGAAGTAACTGGGGCAACGCTGGAGAAAGAACCATGGTGATACAGTGGCAGATTTCGGAGGTTAGGGCGTCGTAAAGTGGTAAAGACACATCGGCAAGCTGTTGACTTGAGATCATACCGGCTCAAGGGGCTGGGCTCCACCCCAGAAGGGATTGATGACGGCAGAGGCGGACGTGGCCAGAGACAGGGCCACGAGCAGAAGCACAGCGCCACGAGCGACCGGAGCCATTGCTGTTGAAACGTGGAGTCTCAGCTGCAGAAGCGGAAGAACGGAGTGTTCAACAGTTGATCAGCGAGTGATCAACGGATGGAATGATGGATACTCAAAATTAGATGAGAAAGTTGAGTTTCGGGTTGGGTTTTATGTTGGTTGCTGATGGTGGTTCCCTCAGTGTGCGTTGGGATGGGAAGGTAGTGTGTGCTGTGCTGGCTCGAACCGAAAATTGCACATCAGAAATGCGGTTCGGACGCCGAGTCGCGCGGTTCCTCAGCAAGGGAAGGGAGTATGCGTTATGTACACCAGTCCGTAGAGGAGGGGTGTAGAAAAGATTTTATCATGTGCTAAATACAATGTTCGTGATCAAACTTCGAAATGTGGAGTCCATATGCAGATAACCGCACTTGCGGGAAGCATCACGCACTTATACGGAAGCTCCAGTGTCCAGATGCGGGTTATCGGTGATCAGCTATGATGTGGTGGCGGATTATGAAAGGTGGAAGGGAAACGTCCCCAAGAGAAATGTTGCCAGACGGACCGCATTTACGTTGGTATGCCAGATTTGCTCTGTAACATGTAAAACCGGATCGAGCTGTTGAGGCCACGGACGAACTATTGCGAAGTCGCAAAAAGCTAGTCGCTAAGCAACGACGAAGCTGCCGCGTCTCGCCTGGAGACAAAGTTGCCAGCAGGATTTGGACTTGCGCCGTGACCCGCATTTGGACACCATCAGCAGACACCCCCACGCGATTCGATGTTGAAATGCAGCTTGGCGTTGCCGCAAATTGGGACAGCCAGATTGCGACTGGAGTGTCCAGGCCCCAACACTACCGCTCCCCAGACCCAAGTCCCCCGATCCCAGCCCACTAGGCCACCTTGCCGTGATCTACACCCTCATTCTCAGTCTGTGCACAATCGCCACATGCACGGAACGCTTGTAGTGACTGCAACGTGCCTAGAATGGTGCATGCACATACTCTACAAGCACAATCACGACTGCCACGCTGGTAATGCAGCTGTTGACTTTGACTGGCAGGAAGTGTACAGTGCGCTCACATGTGTGGTTGGCTGCCGTTGCTTTTCGCTCTACCATACGTTACCCCTTTCTACCGAACGTAGATATTCTGTATGTGTTTTGAACCTGTGTTAGGAATTGTCTGTTTCTTGTGTGTTTTGATGTGGAATCTTTGGCCACAGTGTAGGACAAATTGAACAAGTCGTTTCGAATGTCACTGTTTTGGCGCTTGGTGCATGGTGTGCCTGGCAACATTAGGGGTTCGGCCACAAGCACAGAGACGCTACCTGACAACACTGTTGTCGCTGCTCCCGATTGTGCGTAGACTGAGAATGAGGGTGTATTGTCCCCCGCCTCGATCAGCGGCACAGCACTGCATGGCAGCGCTTCGGGTTCTCCAGCACGTGCTAAGCAGCAATACGTCCTTTCGATGATTGGAGAGTGTAAAAAACGGCGTTCTTAACGGCCAATGTGCAAAGTTGCCGCCGTTACGGAGCGATTCGTCAGGCGGTTCTCACTCACTCCCTCCCTAACCGTCGACCCGCCAAAACCTAGAAAACACCTCCACAGAACACCCCAGGCTATGCGCCCACCGACATAAATCTGTCGGTGATCGATCTAGCAGGGACAAATTTTGTTCACGTTTTTTGCATTAAATCCTGCACGATTCTTTTGATTCACCTTTCAGTTTGTGAGCAGTTTAAGAATACAAAAATTGCATTTATTAATATAACTCTGTTATACACAATCTGTCACAACCACAATACTGAGTCGAATCATTAGCTTCTAAACCATGATATTGGCAACATTGATGCTGCAAGGTTCACACCATTGTCACAGCTGCTCCTGTTGCTTCTCCCAACCATGACGCATAGCATATCTACTGCAAGTTCAGCTAGCACACTGAACCACCGACGGATCGCAAGTTGTTAGACATACAAAAAATTGGATCGATACGGAGAATCAACAGACTGCCTAACCGTACACGCTGCCAGTGAATCAACGAGAAAAACGGAGCTGCACCGGAAGCAACGAACACATAGACTTACCGTACAAAATGGTAGTACTAGATAAATGCCTGCAAGAACACAACACGGGCACGTACAAACTGCAACACTTCGAGCATGGTCTCAAGAACTGTTAGCACCGTAGAAAGCCTAGAAAAAAACAATATCTAATACTACACCAACTGGAAACAAGACAGCGCCCAAGGCAGCGCCCTGGAATAAGCCAAAAGTAAAAGTAGAAAAAAACAAAAAAAACAACAACTGGATAACGAAACTCGATAATACCACAGCAGTCGCGACTGGTGAGACAAGGAGCCACAGCGCGGGAGCGATTGGAGTGAGGAGCAGGTAAGGTCGGCTGACTAAGAGGCGTTTGTCTGAGAAACAAAGAAAGAGGAACAACAGAACGCAAAAATGAAAATGATCGAGTA